TCTTGAATTCTGTCAAATGACTTTTCTGCATATATTGGTTGATAACTTGTTTATCTGAATTATTTACAATAAAATATTGTCTGACATTTAACCAGTTTTCAGATAATTCTTTTTCCAGATACATAATTGACTCATCTGCTAGTAAGTTTATTTCCTACTTCGCAACTATTATACTTCAATTTCTCACTTGAATCTAAATGTAGTGGAAAGTTATTTTTAAAAAAAGTTAAAAGTAGTGATGGTGGACATCCTTGTCTTGTTTCTGATGTTAATAGGAATGCTTCTAGTGTTTCCCAATTAACAACTGAGGTAGTTATACTTCATCAAGTTTTAAAAGTATCCACCCGGGGTCTTCCCTGGTGGCGCAGTGGTTGGGAGTCCGCCTGCCGATGCAGGGGACGCGGGTTCGTGCCCCGGTCTGGGGGGATCCCGTGTGCCGCGGAGCGGCTGGGCCCGGAAGCCGTGGCCGCTGAGGCTGCGCGTCCTGGGGCCTGTGCTCCCCAATGGAAGAGGCCGCAGCAGTGAGAGGCCCACGTACCATAAAAAAAAAAAAAAAAAGTATCCACCTGTTCCTATGTTTAGTAAGTTTTTTTGTATTTAATGTAAGTATTTAATGAAGAATGGATTTTAAATACTGAAATGCCTCTATCTTCTATGAAGACGCTCATGATTTTTCTCCTTATATAAAACAATGTGGTGAATTACATTAATTTGTTTCCCAATAGGAAATTTTTCTAATGAAACCTTCCTTGCACTATCAGAATAACTTCCACTTAGATATGTGAAGCTTGATTTTTTTATTAGACTTTACTAATGATTTTTGCATCAATATTCATAAATAAAATCATAATTTCCTTTGTGCTTTATGGAATTTGGGTATCTCTGTTATACTTACATTTTAAAACATGAAAGCTTTCCTTCTTTATCTAGGTCCTAGAAAAAATTAAAGTGCATTGTAATTAGAATTTCATTCTGAATCTCCATGAGATTTGTGATGTATGCAGGTGGTTTTGGTAGGAGTTGACAATTGTTTCTTCTATGGTAATCTCTGTAGGGTTTTTTGCATGTTCTGCAGTCAGTCATAGGAATTTATAAAAATAAATTTAAGACTGTTTAAATTTGACTGTTTAAATATAATGGCATGGATTTGGACATAACTGTCTCCCCTCTCCCCTTTATCATTTTTATTAGGATATATATCATTCTTCTGTTTCTTAATTGTTTTTTTGTTTTGTTTTGTTTTTTTGCGGTACGCAGGCCTCTCACTGTTGTGGCCTCTCCCGTTGCGGAGCAGAGGCTCCAGACGCGCAAGCTCAGCGGCCATGGTTCATGGGCCCAGCCGCTCCGCGGCACGTGGGATCTTCCCAGACTGGGCCACGAACCCATGTCCCCTGCATCGGCAGGCGGACTCCCAACTACTGCGCCACCAGGGAAGCCCCTTAATTGGTTTTTATCTACTTTATTTTTGCACCAAAAAATTAACATTTAGCTTTATATACTAACTCTACATCTTTTTTATTTCACTATTTATCAACTTTTATACTATTTTTTAAAGTTTCTTCTCTTTTTATAAGACTTATGTTTAACACACTTATTTTCATTACTTTTGGATTAGTCAGTTAAGAGAAAGGGAAGTGAGGAGTCAGAGATGAGGTTAGAAGGTTATAAAAGGGAACAGAGAAATGGTGCATACCTAGAAGGGAACATTATGTTTAGTGATTTTTTTAAAGACAGTCATATTTAAAAACATATATTAAATACTTATTTAAATACAACATATTTGTTGATGAGAATCATTTGGCAAAAAGGGAAGGAATTTATGATGCAGAAAAGGGGTTAATTCTGGAAGCAAAGTTCTTGAGTAAGCGAGAGTATAAGGCTACGATTGTACACATACTCAGCAAAGTTGTTCTTAGGTGGGTAGTTCATCCTTTGTTAACAGGAGGCAGAAGGCATTAACTGTGGAAATGTGTGTGGTCACTGTTGATGGCTTACCTGAGGTGTGTGCTCATAAGCCAAAAATGAGTCCAGTTAGCACAGCTGTCCTTCTCTAACATTATTTTACAGCTTGAGTGTACTCAAGGCATAGGCAGAGTAAGAAATTTAGGTTGGGGTTCTGCCAAGTAAATTTTAAAAAGGCACATGCATGAAATTCTGCTTAAAATTTCATGAGGTTCATGACCATACATGGTGGATGAACTTTTTGCAAGAGGATTCAAGAACACCATAATACAGGACAGCATGAAGCAGGGAAATGGATTTTTTCATGCTCTTCAGAATTTGATACTTGCGTCTAACAAACGTAATAGTTGAAGTTCTGCTAGGCAGGATAAAAGGAGTTATCATTCTTACCACCTTGTGCTAGTAATTTCTCCTTGGCCTTTGGACTAGGCTTTGGGATACTATTCACTTCTATGATTTTTCTTCTTTTAGAAGGCATATTAGAATCTCCTAGGGATGCAAGTCTAGTGGGGTTTTCTTCTTTAAGTTTACAAAATACATGCTTATAGAAAATTAAAACATTATAGAAATATATAAAGCCAATCATGAAAGTTCTCCCATAATCCCTCTCTCACAAAGCCACTGATAACAATGTGGTGTTACTTCTCCAGTATTTTTAGAGCATTAACAAGTTACTCTACCAAAAGAAGCTTGCACAGCTTCCTTTTTTATATAAGGGTAAAATTTGGACATCTTATTATTCCAGAGATATTTCTTACTCTTAATGGAAACTGCATGAAGATACCATAATCTATTATACCAGTCCCTTATTGTTAGGACATATGGGCTAGTTTTAATTAAAGACAAAGGTGAAATAAGTATGCTGTGTACAGTTGTCAGATTATTCCCATTAGGCAGTTTCATAGTAATTTCATTTCTAATGAGGAGTTAGCCAAAGATTCCAAGCATCTTCAATATACTCTGGAAAACTACCCTCCTAAAGGTTGTAACAACTACACTCCCACCTACAGCATGCAAGATGGTTTATGTATATTTGGAAATGCTTATTCAAAATTATGGTATAATTTCTTTTTTTTTTTTTTTTTGCGTTACGCCGGCCTCTCACCGTTGTGGCCTCTCCCGTTGCGGAGCACAGGCTCCGGACGCGCAGGCTCAGCAGCCATGGCTCACGGGCCCAGCCGCTCTGCGGCATGTGGGATCTTCCCAGACCGGGGCACAAACCTGTGTCCCCTGCATCGGCAGGCAGACTCCCAACCACTGCGCCACCAGGGAAGCCCTATGGTATAATTTCTTAATTTGAAACAAATTTTAAACTGATTGTTCCTGTAATTTTGTTTTCTAACTGTAGAAAGTGAAGTGTGACAAATTTTCTTGCCTAATAGGGAACCAGGATCCTAAGGACAGGGTTTGTAAAACTCGGTATATGCTAGAAAGAGGCACAGGCATCAGAAACTTAAGTAACACTTTTCTATGAAGTCTTCACAAGAGACTGCAGCCCTTGCTATAGCTTCAAATACGTACATTGGTATCTCTAGTTATTTCTCCAGGGTTTGATACCTATATTGGTAACCTACCTTGTGGAATATAATTGAAACTCAAAACATAAGCTTTCCCTGCCAGTTGTTCTCATTCAACTGCAGCAGACAACTCTGTACTCCTGGGACACACACCTCTCACATGTCTGCTCTGTCACTTCACACCTCATCTTAGAGTACCCTTTTTCTTCTCTGACCTCTTTCAAGGCTCAGCTCAAACACTGCTGACTCTTAAGAAGTCTTCCATAATCCTCCTCAGGGAAAGTAAATGGGCTTTTCCTCTGTGTTACCCTGGCTTTTCGCTGGTACCTCTATAACAGCATTTCTGTAATAAGCTACTAAAGTGGAAGTCTTAAAGCAGCGGTCCCCAACATTTTTGGCACCAGGGACCAGTTTCAAGGAAGACAATTTTTCCACGGACTGGGGATGGGGTCAGAAGGGTAGTTTTGGGATGATTCAAGCACATTACATTTATTGTGTACTTTATTTCTATTATTACTACATTGTAATATATAATAATTATACAAGTCACCATAATGCAGAATCAGTGGGAACCCTGAGTCTGTTTTCACTTGCCACTCACTGATAGGGTTTTGATACGAGTCTGCAAGCAGTTGATTTATTATGGTCTCTGTGCAGTCAAACCTCTCTGCTAATGATAAACTGTATTTGCAGCCGCTCCCCAGTGCTAGCATCTCCCCCTCAGCTGCACCTCAGATCATCAGGCATTAGATTCTCACAGCGTGCAACCTAGATCCCTTGTACGCGCAGTTCACGGTAGAGTTCGCGCTCCTATGAGAATCTAATGCCGCCACTGATCTGACAGGAGGTGGAGCTCAGGCGGTAATGCCAGTGACAGGGAGTGGCTGTAAATACACATGAAGCTTCACTCACTTGCCCACCGCTCACCTCCTCCTGTGCAGCCTGGTTCCTAACAGGCCGTGGACCTGTACCAGTCCATGGCGCAGGGGTTGGGGACCCCTGTCTGAAAAGACAGACACATTTCACCTGTCTACTTCCTGAACAGTATCTAGTGCAGAACTTTACAGAACATGCACTCAAAAACTGTATGTGGAATAAACATACAGAAGTTACCGCTTCAAATCCTTTAATCCCAAATTATCAGTCACAGACACCAGTTTTTAAAGGATTAAAAAGAAAGACTGCTCCCCTCAGAACATGTCCTACTACAGTAAGCAGTTCTGTAAGTTTAAAAAAAAAGTGTGTTTTAATAAAAGTGATAAATCATTCTATAGTTATGTTCAACAAACCCACATATGCTTGATATCTGCATCTTACCTCCTAGGATCTCAAACTGTTTATTTTAGAAATAAAAACATGGGGAGAGGACAGTTCATTGTAAAATATGAAAAAGCAGTGATTCAAGCATGTGAGTTTTTGCTTTATATTCCTAGCCAGAGCACAAATGACTGGATATTCTCATCAACACCAAGCTAAAGAAGAAACAAAAAACAAAACTGGAACCACCATGAAGACGCCACATTAAAATCTCTTTCTCTTGATAATTTCTGGCTTCCAGCTGACTGGATGAGTTTCTTCTGTCTATAAATAGAAAAGTAAGTAAGTTAAAACAAAGTATTTCTGGTCTGCTTCATATTTAATAGGTTCCTTTCTAACAAAAATACGGCACTTATTCTAAATTATATTACTTGGCATTATATATTTAGCAGTTCTTTAACAATTTTAAGATAAATGACAAACTTTGGCATTATCTGAATCTAATAAAGGATGAGTACATTTGCTACAAATTCAGTTTACGGTTTTTCGTTTTAAATAAAATTGCTATTTAGACATTCTAATAACACCAAAGCTTATGATTCTAGAATTAATTTGCATGGTAATCAACTTATTTGCTGTGATTCTTAGTATAAGATTTTCCCAATAACTCTAATAAGGAACGCTGAGATAAAATCAAAACTATGGATTTGCTGTCATCAATAAAACCAATAAAGAAATCTATGAGCAGACACTATTCAAGTGACAAATACTTTAATATTATGAAGATTACTTTCCTTCTGATAATTTCAGTAACTTTAAAATGAGAAAAACGCTTGCAAAATTGGCATGGCTGATTTTATTATACTTTACAATGTATATGAAACAGAGATCTTACCGCTGTATCATCCTCTCTGTACACTTTAATGGTTTTATCAGCTTCAGCTGTTAATAACCGACTTTCAGACTGATCAAAAGCACAAGCAAATATTCCTGACTCACTGTCCAAAGACCCAGGCTGCACTGCTGCATGAACTCTCTGGAAATTGTAGCCAGTTCTCCAGTCCCAAAGATGCATAGTGCCATTGTCAGCTTAAAGGGAAAGATATAGTTAAATCTGGTGTCCTCTCAACAATTTGGCTTGACAAATGTTTATTAAGCACCACAATAGTAACCGCAGTCACTACTATAAAGATATATAAGATGCAGGCACTCAAGCTCCTCTTAATATCAGTTTGTCTACTTTCATTTGTACTTAATTCAGAATTTATTATAGATCTCAAAAAGCACCACAAAACGACATTCAACTCCAGAACACACAACCAAACTTTAGGCGATTTCTGGCATAAACCCCTAACTTAGATTTATCAATGTGGGAACTTAAAGAGAGCTAAACTACGAAATATGCTACGTGCATTATGAATATGCATGAACACACGTGAACATTCAAACAAACGTTAAAACAGGCAAGTTCTGCTATAATACTTAGGTGTGATGACTTAGAAATTTTACTCACTAAAAGAAAAAGATGACAGACTAAAACATTTATCATAAAAATCTTATTTTACCTCCAGATACAAGCACTCCATCAGAATTTACTGTCAGTGTATTAATAATAGCATTGTGACCAGAAAGATTTTGAATGAAACTTCCATCAGGGAATTTCCACTGTTTTATGTTATCTGGAGAACCAGACGCAAATGTGTAACTGAAATAAGATAAAGAATTAATGATAAAGTAAACCAAATTAAATACAATGGTGGATTTTTAAAAATCTGATTATGGTTGTATTTTGCATGTGTAGTCAGGATCTATGCAGTTTTAGCAAAATATTATCATCATACCAAGAGATAAAAGTATCAAGATATTTATTCCAAGTTAAATCAGATTTTTAAATTATTTTAAATGTACGTTAAGCCCTAGGTTGAAGTTTTATTTTCCTCTCATTTCCCTGATGCTCTACACTAAGCTAAAGCAAAAAACATATAAACCCCTAAACTCACATAAAGGGCAAGGGGTGATGTAACTATTTTCAAGAAAGCAAGAAAGAAAGCCAGAGAGAGAGGAGAGAGAGACAGAACAAGAAGAAAGGGAGAAAACGAAAGAAATAGAGGCAAGAGGAAGAGAGAAAGGGAGGGGGAGGAATAAAGGGAATGAGGAAGACAGGAAAAGGGAGGAAGGACAAGAGTGAAAATAAAGGTAAGGGAGAGTGGGAAAGAGAGGAGGAGAGGCAAGATATGACTGTGACCAGAAAGTGCCAGGTGATATAGTTTCATAGACAACAGGTTGTGATATTATGCTCCATCTCTCGGGATACTCTGACTATAATGTTCATGATTACTACTATTTTTTCCGATTATATTAACTTCCTCCTTAAGAATTAACTATTCTATGTATAGCTCAGTGCCTAATAATATTTATGTCCAAAACATTAAATATAGCTACTATTAGCTTCGATTATGACAGGCAACTTTTAACCATGATTTATTCGTATTATCTCATTTGACATCATTTTCACCATGCAGAAAGCTTTCCTTGTCTTATAGAGGCCATGAAGCAAAATACTACACAAGGAAAATAAAAGAAATGCATGTTCATATGTGGCACAGGTGAAAAAATGACAGTGGCTAAATGACTACCAAAGTAGTATTCATGTTGATATTTCTGTATAATACTAAGAACTGAAGAAGGAAGAGAAGCTACTTAGGAAAACACACTTACTGTCTTGGATGTAAAACCACAGCCCTGACTGATTTTTTGTGATTTGTTAATGTGACTCTTGTTTTTCCAGCCACCAAATCCCATAATCGTATTGTAGTGTCATGGCTTCCTGTAAGGAGAATACACACACATCCACAAGATACACACAGATCAGAAAAAAAGAATGTGAAAGTTAAATATAATAAAATTGGAAGCATTCCTCCACAGACATATATATATGAAATAAAAGTCATATTAACCCTTTAATTGTTTTCTATAGTTCCAAAATATTTGGTTGATTTTAAGTTTAATTCTTAAAAGAATGTAATAAACGCTTGTTGCACTGTCATCTGAATAACTAGAACAAATGTGAATAACAAATAAAACAAATACATGATGTCATCCCCTAGTGGAGAGGAAGGAAAAAACTCTAATAATCATTTAGTTAATAAAACACACGGGAAGGAATTATTTTCTAGTCGAAGATTCAATGTTATTAACCATATTTTAAGCAAAACAAGACTCAAACCAGCTCTAAAAGTCTGAGAGTATTTTGTCTTCTAACTTTAAATTCCTAGACCGGTAATTTTGATACTATAAAGCAATGCTTAGTTGTATCTAATAGCACTATTTTTTAGTCAGACATTACCTGATACAAAGATTCTATGATATGTAAAAAGTATGAGATAAAAACAATGGGATGAAATGTTACCACAAAAAATTTCAAGTGCACACAGAAACACTGTATATACAACACAAAGCAAGAGTCATAGTAAATATGAAAAGTATATAATCGTAATGCACTCTGATATGAATATACTGTAAACCTGAAAAGTATCGATCATACCAGTAATAATTTGTGGTTCCGCAGCTTGACACCTCACTGTAGCCACCGCATTAGTATGTCCAGATAACGTGTGTACACTGGCTTTAGTTCTCACATCCCAAATCTATCAAAACACAACAGACATAACCATCAAAGAGAACAGGTATTCATATCTCAGGCAGGTAACTACATCAATGCAAGCCTGGGAATCTACTCAACAACTTTGTGTGCCTGCCTTGAATATAATGAAGAAAGTGAGTAAATGAAATAATCACCTGTAAGCTGGCTAGGGAATGTAGATAGGAGGCAGCCAATGGGGAAAAAAGCTACAAGATCAGGGGACCTACTGACTAGAATGGGTATAATGGGGCTACTGAATGAAACAGCTAATGGACCACAGCTGTGGTGATAGACTGGCATGTGAGAGGTCGCATATCAGGGGCGGGGCCTCCCAATTACAGACATACAAGGGCCACAGAACTCAGAAGATGAAGACTAGGTAGGGCATTGATGGGTCAAGGCAACTATCTTTAAAGTCTCTATCCAAAAATACATGACTTTAGGACCAAATAAGCATACTGTAAGATGCAATATATGTACAGATCAGCTCTATTCCACTTACCCGTGCAGTTGAGTCTCGGCTACAGGTCACCAGCACATCAATTGTTGGGTGCAGATCTAAACCATACACTGCACTCAGATGTCCATGATAGTGCCTTATAACCTAAAAAATAAGAAAGTAAGTTAAAATTTCTACAATTAGGAAGATAAACAGGGGCTCATAATGTCTCCAATCCTTAACTTCATGCTTACCTTATTATACTCAAGATCCCAGCATTTGACTTGTTTGTCTTCTCCACAGGAGAAGAGGTACGGGCTCCTCGTGCTCACTATCACACCACGCACCGTACTGATGTGCCCAGTTAATGACAGTTTTAACTTGCCACTAGCCAAGTCCCAGATCTGCAATAAAAAAATAATTTTTCTTCTTTCTTTATTATTCCAAAGCAAATTTTTAGAATCTTGATGTTAAAATTGTCTTCAAAAAGTGAAAGATAAAAACATAAAAATATAAAAGTTTGCAAAATGACCCCATCACCAAAAATAAAATCAGGGAAAAGAGAATTAAAGGGCATGATCAAACTGGGAAAATATTTGCATAGATGACAAAAAGTTAATATTCTTAATATATAAAGGATATCACTGATAGTAAAAGTATGAATACTGAGGTATTAAATTATTCAAGGATGGCATCAACTTAAAAAAAAAAAACCTAGAAGTAGCAAATAAAGGTATCAAAAACTTCAACATCACTATAAATTTTATATACACAGTTTTTGAAAGATTAGATATTCACTTCTGCTTATCACAATAGTAAATATTTTTTAAAAAACACAAGCAATGTGCTGAAAAGGATCCTCTCACATGCTGCAAGTATCAATTCACCCATTTTGGAAAATAATTTTAACTTTGGGTGTCAACTTCAAGAATGTCTGACCTTTAATATTTTTTTCTGGGAAACTATCATAACAAAACACTTTAAAATACAAAAAAAGCTTTAGGCACATATTAATTACAGCATTACTTATGTTAGTGAAAAATCAGGAAACTAAAAAACTTCAATGCCTAACAAAAGGAAAATAGATTATAGAATACCTAAATGATATAATACTATGGAACCATTTAAAAAAATGTTCAGGAGAGGAATAGATGGGAGTTTGGGATTAGCAGATGCAAACCATAATATATAGAATGAATATGTAACAAGGTCCTACTGTATAGCACAGGGAACTATATTCAATAACCTGTGATAAACCATAACGGAAAAGAATATGAGAAAGAATGTATATATATGCATAACTGAATCACTTTGCTGTACAGCAGCAATTAACATATTGTAAATCAACTATACTTAAAATAATTTTTTTAAAAAAGATGTTCAGGGGCTTCCCTGGTGGCGCAGTGGTTGAGAGTCCGCCTGCCGAAGCAAGGGACACGCATTCGTGCCCTGGTCCGGGAAGATCCCACATGCTGTGGAGCAGCTAGGCCCGTGTGCCATGGCCACTGAGCCTGTGCGTCCGGAGCCTGTGCTCCACAACGGGAGAGGCCACAACAGTGAGAGGCCCGCGTGCCACCAAAAATAAACAAAAAAAACAAGGCAATGGAATTCTCTGGGTCCTTGAAAAAGTCAGCACAGAAAGTGTTTGCTCCACACCAAAAAAAAAAAAAAAAAAAAAGATGTTCAGTTTTTGACAGGAATATGCCTTTGACACAATATTAACTGAAAAAAATGTGGGAACAAAATTACATATCAAACGTGATTTTTAGAAGATACACATTTATATACACAGGAAAAAAACTCAGAAGAAAATGCAGGTACACGTACACAGAAATAAATGTTAAAAAGAAAATTCAAATATCTGACAGTGGTAGGATTATGTATGGGTCTATATTCTTTTTCTTTTCTTTCTTTCTTTCTTTCTTTCTTTTTGGCTGCGTTGGGTCTTCATTGCGGCACACAGGCTTTCTCTAGTTGCAGCGAGTGGGGGCTACTCTGTTGTAGCGCAGGGGCTTAGTTGCTCTGCGGCATGTGGGATCTTCCCACACCAGGGCTCGAACCCAGGTCCCCTGCAATGGCAGGCGGACTCTTAACCACTGCGCCACCAGGGAAGCCCTGGGTCTATATTCTTTTATACTCCTTTACATTTTCCACATTTTTTTAATAGATAAGCATGCTTTAATTTTTGTAACCAAAAGGAGAAAAAAATATGAAGAAATTAGTTGTAAATAGTCAGCATGTACTGTTTGGGAAAAAAACTGTTGCTTAAATACCACTTTTCAAAGAGATATTTATTTGAGACTTTTTTTTTAATTTATTTATTTATTTTTGGCTGCGTTGAATCTTCATTGCTGCACGCTGGCTTTCTCTAGTTGCGGTGAGCAGGGGCTACTCTTCATTGTGGTGCGCGGGCTTCTCATTGCAGTGGCTTCTCTTGTTGGAGAGCATGGGCTCTAGGCGCACGGACTCAGTAGTTGCGGCTCGCGGGCTCTAGAGTGCAGGCTCAGTAGTTGTGGCATACAGACTTAGTTGCTCCACAGCATGTGGGATCTTCCCAGACCAGGGCTCGAACCGATGTCCCCTGCATTGGCAGGTGGATTCTTAACCAATGCACCACCAGGGAAGCCCTATTTGGGACTTTTAACTGGTATAGATAATAAATTTTACTCTACACTCAGGTCTAAGAAATCAGAGAACTAGAATAGCAATTCCCAACAGAGGAAGTAAAACATTAAAATTACATGGCAAACACAAAATCATGTTTACATTTTTCTTCCTTCCTTATTACCTTTATAGTTCTGTCAGCAGATCCAGTAACAAACCACTGGTTTCCAGGTTCCACAGCAATACATCGAACCCAGCCAAGATGCCCACTGATCACCTGTATTTAAAAAGGTAGAATGAGCAGGCTCACTACACAGAAGCTAAAGTTTATTCAATTTCAACTCATCACACTTATGTTAAATATGATACAACTGAAAAGCAAAACTACAGTGATCGAAAAAAGATGAATGGTTGGCAGGGGTGAGAAAGGATATGATTATAAGAAAACAGCACAGGGGTGTTCCTGAATCAATGGAACTTCTATTAACCAGATTGTGGTAGTGGTTACCCAAATTTATATATCTATTAAGATTTATTAGACCTATACACCAAAAGAAAGTCTATTCTAAGGTATGATAATTTGTCTAGCTGTACATTTCCTACTATTTACATTTTATTTTAGATTTGGTACATTTTGAATCATTTCAATTTACTATAATTAAAAAGATA